CAACACCAGCACAGGAAGATTATTTATACAATACAGCTGGAATGATATGCGGGCCAGTTGCAAAGCCTTGGTGGACCAAATCTGGCTCATGGGCTGCCAGTTAAATAGCCCTCTTCTAAAGTGAGTTCTAATGAACAGATTGTGTTTATATTTTATTTATAATTACTAAGTGGTTTGTGTTGATTTGTGATTCATTTTGGATATATTTTATTGAGTTTTTATTGAGCGCCATGGTTGTGAGTGGAAAAATTATTTCTTTTTTACTAATTTCCCTATCGACGGTCCGACAAGCTGTCATCGCAAACCACCAATTGTTGTAGAATCAGGTTTTTGGCTCTAACTGCATGATGATTCGTTCTAATCTGTTAAATTCACACCCTGCAACATTTGCTCCAGCTGATGGATCAAGTCTGGCAAAACGAATACCCACCACAACAATGGAAAGATGGTGTAATCTTCAAATTACCTAAAAAAGGTGATTTATCCGATTGTAACAACTGGAGAGGCATCACCCTGCTTTCGATACCAGGGAAACTATTTTGTAGTATGCTACTAGAAAGATTGAAAAAATCCATAGATGAAAGATTAAGGGAAGAACAAGCCGGTTTCAGATCCAAGCGGTCATGCATAGACCACATCGTTACTCTTAGAATAATTGTTGAAGATTCTACAGAATTCCAGTCAAAAATATTGATCAACTTTGTCGACTTCCAAAAAGCCTTCGACAGTATCCATCGTCCAACACTCTAGAAATTGCTTAACATCTATGGTTTCCCCATCAAATATATCTTCTTCTTTTGTCAAAATCTGCTTGTGCCGCTAGGCGTCGCAGTCTATCAGATGATTGGCAACCGAGCCAGGGCGCGCTCAGTCGCTTCATATGCCGTGATGTTATGAAGTCTCAAGTTGTCCGTGACTCCTTCAATCCATCTTCTTCTTGGTCTTCCCCTGCCTCTTGTTGTTTCGATTTTCATGTTGTATACTCTTGATGCTGGCATCGTTGGTTCCATTCTCATTAGGTGACCAAATCATTTCATTCTTTGCTTCTCAATAAATTTAACGATGGGTATAGTTCCAATAGTTCTTGTAATCACATCGTTTCTCACTCGATCTCTTCTGGTTTTATTCGCAGCCATTCTCAAACATCTCATTTCACAGGTGGTTAGTCTTCTCTCATGTTCTTTTGTTAATGTCCAAGTCTGACATTGATAACCTAATGTTGGTATAAAGATTGTATTTATAATTTGTCTTTTTACCTCAGCTGGGACAGCAGGGTGTTTTAAAATTGGGGCAAGCTGGTATGCGACATTGTTGGCTTGTTGGATTCTTGCTTCGATCTCTCTGTCTATTTTACCATTGGATGTAAAGATACTTCCCAGGTATTTAAATTCTTGCACTTGTTTTAGGCTGTGATCTAGAATCTTTATGTCGATGGTCTGTTGCTCTCTACTTATGCTCATGACTTCTGTCTTTTCAGTATTGATCTTCATATGATGCTTGAGGCAACTGTCGTGTAGTAGGTTCATGTGGTCTTGCAGCTGTTTACTATCACTGTGAAATATGCATTGATCGTCGGCAAAGAGCAGCTCATTGAAGTCCTCCTGTTTATCGACATCTGTTGGTGTTATGTCTATTTTATTAATATTGTCCATAAATATTATGAAAAGTAAAGGTGATAATACACAACCTTGTCTTACTCCTGATGTTACTGGGAACCAGCCTGTGATGCCAGCTCTTGTTCTAATGGCGCTTTCACTTTGTCTATAAATAGCCCTAACACAATTTAAAATTGTTCCATTTATACCGTAGTTTTCAAGAACTTTCCATAATAAATTTCTGTTTACTCTATCGAAAGCTTTTTCTTGATCTATGAAAGCGATGTTCATTTGATGTCTGTGTTCTATTGTCATTTAATATATCAAATATATCAACATCATAAAATCTTTTTATAATGAAACACGATGCTGTGTAAGAACTGATTCCGGCAATTCTGACTGGTTCCCGATGGAAACAGGAGTGAAGCAAGGCTGTGTCCTATCGCCGATCCTTTTTGGTATAGCAATCGACTGGGTCATGCGCAAGTGCATAAATAACGCAAATTTAGGCATTACATGGGTTGACAAAATTCTGGAAGACCTAGACTTCGCCGACGACATAGCACTCCTGAGTTCAGAACACACAGACGCCCAAGAAAAAATCAATCAACTCCAGAATTTCTCAGAACAAATTGGACTCCAAATTAACACAGCAAAAACAAAAATTCTAGACCTTACCAACAGTTCAGTTGATATCACGCTGAACAACAACAGCCTTGAAAAAGTCAACAGTTTCACTTATCTAGGGAGCAAGATGTCATCTACAGGAGATACCGCACCAGAAATACCATTTAGAATAGCACTGGCATCTAGTGCCTTCAATAAACTGTCCAACATCTGGAAATCAAAGACACTTAGCAAACACACAAAACTCAAGATCTTCAATTCTTGTGTGATTCCAGTACTAACCTATGGATGCGAGAGCTGGAAATCAACGAAAACTCTAGACACAAAATTAGACAGTTTTGAAAATAAATGCCTTAGAAGAATACTAAATTTCAAATGGTCAGATTTCCGAACCAATACACAAATAAGGCAAGAATCCAGGCAAGAGTATGTGTCTAATTTTATACGAAAACGCCGTTGGAACTATGTCGGCCACGCCCTTAGAATGGAATCAAGACTTCCTTACCAAGCCCTCATTTGGACACCACAGGGGAAAAGATCTCGTGGAAGACCAAGGGAAGGCTCGCTCATGGGCCACTCAAACATCCAAGACCTACAACAGATTGCAACGAACCGCCATGCATGGAGAGTCATGACCTCTGCCCTATGTGCCGCACTCGACACAAAAGGAAAGACTAAATAACTAACAGCAAATGCCTTAAGGTGTAGATGCTGACTATTCCCATAGCACACTGATTATACACACGTCGTTCTCTCCTCTCATCCGTCCCTCCTTACCGGACCCACACTGATTATACACACATCGTTCTCTCCTCTCATCCGTCCCTCCTTACCGGACCCACACTGATTATACACACGTCGTTCTCTCCTCTCATCCGTCCCTCCTTACCGGACCCACACTGATTATACACACGTCGTTCTCTCCTCTCATCCGTCCCTCCTTACCGGACCCACACTGATTATACACACGTCGTTCTCTCCTCTCATCCGTCCCTCCTTACCGGACCCACACTGATTATACACACGTCGTTCTTTCCTCTCATCCGTCCCTCCTTACCGGACCCACACTGATTATACACACCTCGTTCTCTCCTCTCATCCGTCCCTCCTTACCGGACCCACACTGATTATACACATCTCGTTCTCTCCTCTCATCCGTCCCTCCTTACCGGACCCACACTGATTATACACACCTCGTTCTCTCCTCTCATCCGTCCCTCCTTACCGGACCCACACTGATTATACACACCTCGTTCTCTCCTCTCATCCGTCCCTCCTTACGGGACCCACACTGATTATACACACATCGTTCTCTCCTCTCATCCGTCCCTCCTTACCGGACCCACACTGATTATACACACGTCGTTCTCTCCTCTCATCCGTCCCTCCTTACCGGACCCACACTGATTATACACACGTCGTTCTCTCCTCTCATCCGTCCCTCCTTACCGGACGGACACTTAATTCCTCGTTCAGACATTCTTGCACATGTTACTTCATCTAATCTCGTGTCTTCTGTCAGCATCGTTTATTTATTGTCTTAAGAATATCTCCCTTGTCTAGTACCAGTGCTCCCGTAGATTTCGCTTTTGTAGCCAGAAAATATATTATTTTATTCGCTCACATTTCTGCAAGTCCCAGACAGAATATCATTTTCGTGATTCCCTGCAATGTTGGCGTACTGATTTTTGGTATCCACTCATGCCACATTAGTCCATTTTAAACCTTCTGCAATTCCAACTGAGAATCAGACACAATAATTCATCTTGTAACTTTGTTTTCTGCTATCTAATTCAGAGCTACAGTGATTGTTTCCACTTCGATTCTCAGATAAAAAAGCTCTGTTTTGTTCTGTCACAATCTTTCCCTTTATTCTAGCTGAAAATTGCCAGCTAGATCTTAAACCCAGATAAACAGAACCATCGGTGTACACTCAACACTGCTGCATCATCTAGCCCAGCCTTTCCATCTGTTCATTTCCTAATAGTTAACTACTAACACAATTTACAAAGTTACTTTTGTAGCAGTGTTCTAATATGATTCCTTAACAATCCCTGGTCACTTTGATGTATGTTTGTGGTACTGCAGCTGAATTATTTATTATTAGTATGGTCTGTTTTAATGTGTTATGCTTGTGACATTTCAAAATTGCATTGCCACCCCTTGGGCCTCTGATGTTAAATCCCCTCCGACTCAAAGAGTTAACAGTACAGTAAAGTAAATAGATGGTAAGAACTAGGATGGGCGTTCTGTATTTTTTAAGAATGCTGGAAACATGAATGACACTTCTTATCTTAACCCCAGAATACTTATTAACCGGAAGGCTGAAACAGTTTAACCTTTGGCAGTGACAGTTATTCATTATGATTATTTATAATTCGAATAAAGTAATTTTTAATTGAAATTGTAACAACAATGTTAAGAAATTTAAGAAAATTGTTTATTTATAGTTATAATTAAACTGTTCTGCCTCACTCCTGATTGACATTCATTCGGTGTTTTGCAGCGTTTTGGACATAGAAAGATGATAATATACGTCGTATATATATTTTTTTAATATTACAATGTAATAGTAACTTCACTTGTGTGTCAACTGTAGCGACAGAAGACAGAATAATACAATATATACTATAATTATAATAAATACACACAGAAACACCTCCTCCCCCACTCCCTCCTTTACAAAAAATGACTGTCGCCTGATATTGATATATCAACAAGTCGACAGAACAACACAAAACATATCTTATGTTTATAGATAACTGATATTTGACTTACCCGAAACATATAGAAACAATGTGAATAGACCATGAGACAAACCATCCTATAATGATTGCTACGGCTAATAATGTAGCCCCTACGAAAACGAATTCAACCGTCATATCTTCATGGTGTTGGGCTCGGCGTCTCCACCCACCTGTGGTTGGGGCAGCAGGTCGTTGAAAGCACCTCACTGACTCACTGACTCACTGACGCATTCCCACAGGCCTGGCACAGCTGCCGGCCGGTTTGGGCAGATGATTTCGTGTTCGTTTATTTACTGCACCGTTGTTTATTACTATAATCAGATTGCATTTATAATTATTTTTTTTTTTTTTTTAGTACGACGCTCTGAATTACTATATAATTTTCCATTACAGCTACTGTTATCTGAATTGTAGACAGTTAGCTACATTAGGCTGATATTCACACCTGGTAGAAATCTGGCAAATCTACCTGTGTGTAATGTTACGTCACTACGTGGGAGACAGGATTTGATCAACGCCTTCTCCAGATTAGAGATGATGTTGATTTGATGCACCACTTTTCATTTTAGAAATACCACTACAAATCATTTTCCATGGAGGAATACTGAGTCATTATGGACTCGATGCTTTTTGCGAATTTAAAGTTATAACGTTGCAGAACCAACCCCAGCCATTTTTTTTCCGCCGTTTGGTTTTGCGTTCAGCGGTTTGTCATTGCTCACCGAACGGTCGGCTCTTGAAACTGTTGTCGGAATCAGCGCAGTAACAGCTACAACTTGAGATGTCCAGTTAATAAAACAGGAAAGAAAACCTATGGAAGACTTTTTTTTTCCAAAATCTAAATAAGTCATTGACATGTAAGGAATGCTTACATGTTGACAGCAATGAGGACATATAGAAACAAATTCATACATTTTTTTTTGCAGGATACGCACAAATACATGTCTATAGATAAAAATATGAGAAGACAGCGATCGTGAGGTGAGAAAAAGGAACTGAAGAAGATAAGAAAAAAAGGAAAAGGAATTAAATTGTGTGAAACAACCTATTCTGACCTAGAGTACATAACTACCCTCTGATGGTAGTGGATATTGAGAAAGTATCACACATATAAACCAACAGACCCAAACTAGTAACCAAGACACAAATAATACGAAACAAGCAAAACTATAGGTTGTATCATGTACAACACAAGTAGCCATTGAAGGCTGGGTCAACCAGGAGGCTAAGGTCATTTCTAAACAGAAGGGCAGCTCCGTCGGGATCTAAACCGGTGGCCTTCCGATTTGCAGGCGAATGTCTGGCCGCTACACCATGGCGGCTCCCTTGAGTTTGTGTGTATGTATGTGTGTGTATATATATATATATATACATATGTGTGTGTATCATCATCATCAGGTGCCTTGCCGACTGGCGTGGGCGATCATGACTCTCCATAATCTCCGATCTCCTGCAGCATGTATCAGTTCGTGTGCCGACACACCTCCACGCTATGCAACAAGACTGTCAAGCATCTTCTCTCGTTGTCTTCCTCTATCCCTCCTTCCACAGATCTTTCCAGTGGTCACAACATGTCCTATTTTCCCTCTTCTCATAACATGGCCGAAAAATAATGACTGTCTCCTTCTGATGTCTGTGATAAGTTGTCTTCGGGCTCCCGTCTCTTTCAAAACCTCTTGGTTGCTCTTTTTGGCCGTCCAAGGTATTCTAAGCATTCTTCTGTAAAACCACATCTCTGAGGCCTCTAAAAATTGTTTGGCCTGCCTACCGATTGTCCAGGATTCACATCCATATGTTAAAACTGGATGTATGTAGCGAGCAAGAATTCCTTTTCTAACTCTAAATCTTCTTCTTCTTCTTCTTCTTCTTCTTCACTTCCTCTTTTACCGCTGTGGGTGTCGAGGGAGATATAAGGTTCTGTTTCTAGCTCTTCTGGCTGCCTCGACGATAGGCACATCGTGCTGTTGTAGAGTTTCTCTGATGTTATCCTTCCATCTTGTTCTTGGTCTACCCCGTGCTCTACGTATTTCTTCTCTTCCCATGTATGCTTTGTATGGTATGGTGTCACAAGGCATTCTCTCTAAGTGGGCAAACCATTTCACTTGCTGTCTTTGTATGTAATCCAGAATTGGTTCTGTGCCGACTTGTTCTCTTATGATCTCATTTCTAACTCTCAATGACAAGGATATATTGCACAAGATGTGTGTATGCACACACGTTTACGTGCATTCCCACTTGGGCGTGTACACGTGTGTGTGTGAACATATAAATAATTGTACATGTGTATATATATAAATATATATAGCCTAGTGCAGACCAGCACCTTCCTCATCAACCCTTACCAGAAACTAGAGTACCAATCTAGGCCATCCGTTTTGGAGCAATGAACACCTCTTTGCCAAAATGAATGGTACAAAGAAATCAGACATTTACAGCCGATACTGCCCGCAGTAGGTTCAACATGGTCGATTTTTTTGTTTCGTGTTCATAAATGAACGACAGCTCCTAAAACTACACGAACAACTGGTTCAGGAATAGTAGACGGCCCAGTCAAGGGCAGTTACATAACCAATGGATGGCATAATAAGTTAATCAGGTCGAAGCGTGCACATTGAAACGGGTACGACCTGGTCGGCCAGATAGACATGGAAGACATAAAATACTAGCACCAAATACTATGCAATGAAATAGCAACACAGTTTGTTGCCATAATTATAACCGATAGTGACTAGGTAGAGGCTAGCTCCCTAATCAGAGGTTGAACGGCATTTCACCATGATGAAGGAAGGTGATCAGCTTTGGCCTTTGCCCCCCCCCCCCCCCCCTTTTTTTCCATTTTTTATTAACTCTTGCTTCCTCCCCTTGATGAATTCACCAACATGCACACCATAAATGTAACCATGCTACTGGTTAAGAAGTCTCTCCTATCATGGACACAACCAGTTCCCACAAAAGTGAAATACAAAAAGAAAGGGGGTGGGGGCGGTACAGGAATGGCCACAGTCATTTTCAGCAACCTAACATCTAGACAGACCATCAATACTTTAACAATAAGATTGTCAAACGTTCTGTATACTCTACTGTTTGGTGCAGACAAATGAACAATGAGCAAGTAATTAGATTCTTAGTCCATGCAGTGTGACGTCAGTAGTTCACACATAGGCTGTCAGTGGGTATGTGTGTGTATATATGTGTGTGTAAATGTGTGTATTATGGAATTGTACAGATAGAATTACAAAGGTCCGATTTTTAAGAGCATGCATCTTTCCCATTGCAACATACGCCTGTGAGACCTGGACACTTACTAAACAAGCGGAACAGCGCATAAATGCATTTGAATATAAATGTTACAGACAGGTTCTAAGAATATCTTGGGTAAAGAAAAGAACAAATGCATCCATACTTTAAGAGCTGAATATTGAAGAGGGTTGGCTAGAAAAGACAATAAAACAAAGAAAATTGAAATATTTTGGTCACTTGAAACGTCATGGAATTCTAGAGAGAACAATAATGGAGGGGTATATGCCTGGGAAGAGAGGAAGAGGAAGGCCAAGGAGAAGATGGGTGCAGGATGTGGCAGATGATCTCCAGATGGGTGTATCAGACGCAGGACATCTTGCTCAGGATAGGAAGGTTTTCCGGAGGGTTGTTATGGCAGCGAGGTTCCGCGAGGGACATGCTACTGAATGAATGAAATGTGTGTATATATAAATATGTGTGTTTGTATATACATGTGTGTGCTAACCACCTCACCCCCAAGTTCCGTCTGGTCTATTAAATATAGAGGTCTAGCCCTATGTACCCAACACTTAAGATCTTTTGTCTAGAAATAAAAAGTACCGGCATTCATCATTAAGTGTCTCAACAGAGGGGCCGGTACTCACCAAAGTGTCTCTTACAGTAACGCTGAAAAATGATGGCTGTAAAAGGAAGAACCTGTACTGTCTCCTATTGCGTACCGCCAAAACAAGAACTACTGTTTATATGTTTATACAAGTGTGTGTTTGTGTGTAGTGTATATGCCTCCGATACAGACTGTCATGCCAGGACGAGGAACCACCTCCCAACTGTTCTGTTGTCCGTTGTCAACCGAATTTGCCTCTGCCGTAAGGTACTCCTGTTTTCCCTTCTCTAAATAACACATAGCATAATGTAGATGATTTCCTGCTGATGGAGACACAGCATAATGTAGATGATTTCCTGCTGATGGAGACAATGAATAATGTAGATGATTTCCTGCTGATGGAGACAATGAATAATGTAGAGGATTTCCTGCTGATGGAGACAATGAATAATGTAGAGGATTTCCTGCTGATGCAGACAATGAATAATGTAGAGGATTTCCTGCTGATGCAGACAATGAATAATGTAGAGGATTTCCTGCTGATGCAGACAATGAATAATGTAGAGGATTTCCTGCTGATGCAGACAATGAATAATGTAGAGGATTTCCTGCTGATGGAGACAATGAATAATGTAGAGGATTTCCTGCTGATGGAGACAATGAATAATGTAGATGATTTCCTGCCGATGGAGACAATGAATAATGTAGATGATTTCCTGCTGATGGAGACAATGAATAATGTAGAGGATTTCCTGCTGATGCAGACAATGAATAATGTAGATGATTTCCTGCCGATGGAGACAATGAATAATGTAGATGATTTCCTGCTGATGCAGACAATGAATAATGTAGAGGATTTCCTGCTGATGGAGACAATGAATAATGTAGATGATTTCCTGCTGATGGAGACAATAAATAATGTAGATGATTTCCTGCCGATGGAGACAATGAATAATGTAGATGATTTCCTGCTGATGGAGACAATGAATAATGTAGAGGATTTCCTGCTGATGGAGACACGGCATAATGTAGATGATTTCCTGCCGATGGAGACACGGCATAATGTAGATGATTTCCTGCCGATGGAGACACGGCATAATGTAGATGATTTCCTGCTGATGGAGACAATGAATAATGTAGAGGATTTCCTGCTGATGGAGACAATAAATAATGTAGATGATTTCCTGCTGATGGAGACAATAAATAATGTAGAGGATTTCCTGCTGATGGAGACAATGAATAATGTAGATGATTTCCTGCTGATGGAGACAATGAATAATGTAGATGATTT